TGCTTTGAACAACATTCTTTGTTGTTTTAGGACCGCCCCCCCCTCCCCCATTTTTTCAGTTGTATATTATAGTTTCTTATCCCATTTGTACAGTCTTCTGATGAAGTCCACTGTGTGGACGAAAGCTAGAGAATAAATTATATATTGTTAGTCTCAAAAGTGCTGCTGTTATTTACTTTATACTTTCTATACTGTAAAGAATAACGCGGCTATACTTTTTATTCATCGAAAATATAAATCACCTTATTTTCTTGTGATTACTTTTCTTTTTATTTATAGTTAATTTTGCAACAATGGAGCTATTATTTTTTTATTTGGAGAATTTTTAACTACTATTGCCTTTCATAGTTACAAAGTGAGCATATTAATTTTTTCACCTATGGCCTTCCATATATGATACATATAAATTGGGTAACATGTTATCAATGGCGTTAACAAATAATATCAATTACATAAATATTTATTTGTCTTACTTTGTTTAATAATTTTGGTATTAATCGAAATCCAATAAGTATGTTTATTCATTATTGATTACGGACTATTTTTATTCTTTCTTCCTCTATAGAAAATTCAATATTTATCATCATATCCCATTTAATAACTATGTTAAGGTTATTTATGTTACTATATATATATTGTGTCTCAATGCAAGCTTATACCACTAATAATAAGATTAACATAATATAATAATCACAAATATATGTATGCATATGCATGTATAAATGTATTTGCATATATATAGCCGCAGTCTTTGCCTAGAACCAATATAAGAATTAATATTATGAAAAATGCTACTAAATTCACACCCTTGTTTTTAAGGGTTAATACAATTTTGTCCAAATTTATCCAAATTTTTAGATCAATTGACAATTATTTTTAACAAATAATTAATATTTAGTGTTACATTTGCCAAAATACAAGTTTGTAGTGATCTAAGCATAAACAATGAAAAGGAAAAAAGAATTAAAAAGAATCCAACAATTTTGGAAAGTTACTCTTGAAACAATGCATGATCTTAATGTATATGAACCAAAAATCAAGTTGTTTTTCTGAAGATCTATCTAGAAATCCCTGAAAATGTGTTCTGAGAAATTTCAATGAAATTGTGGACAACATTCAAGGTGCTATTTGTTAATGAGAAGCTTAATGCAAAAGTTATATATTAGTTCAAAATATGACAAACAAATTGTATTTTGTTTGAAATAACTAGATTCTCGGACTTCTTTATTTATTTCTGCCCTGTATTTCTACTGATTCCTGAAATTTAAAATGAACAGATGCTTTTTTTCAGCTGAATAGTGATCTTAAAAAAAAAAAAATATTAGAAAAACAAATCTGTAAAAGACCTCTATTACAAAATGAGTTGTCATATATAAAGAAGCTTTCGACGACAGTAGGACGATGCAGAACGTAATGGTGTCACTAAGAAATCATTTTGTGAGAACGCACATTAATACATGGATTCTAGGATGCAATTTGGCCTGAATATATGCTGTGCTGCAGAGGACAATAGGATGGTCACAAATGAGTGAATCCGTTCTAGAGTCACATCGTTGCACAAATCGAATGTTCCCTATTAACCTACACTTTTATCTTTTTATTATTTAGAAGTGTTTACCTTTAGGCCAGCACCACCACTGAACGATTTAATATGACGATGGAATTGGCCTTACAAGTACACATGAATATAGAACATGGAGAAGCCATGTATCCAAAGACAAACCAAATAATAAGTTATTGTCCTCACTATCATGTTTTATGTGACACTGAATTGCTCATAATATGGGTATGTTGATGACATCACATTTTATAAATATAGGCAAATTACATGTATTTGTGACATAAAATGTGGTGGTTTGGACGAAACATAAAATAATGTTGTAATAACTTCAACAAAGTTAGTCTTTATGCATTATCACATAATGCACTATTACTAAATAAAATTGAAAAAAACCCTGTTGCAAAATCTGGGGTCCAATACACTGTGGCCATCAACTAAACGTAGCACAAGCTTCAACAACAACCCATTTTGTAGTGCAGATCAAATACATCTGTTTACTGATTTGTTTTGCTAGGATGAGAAGTAAACAACATTTTGTTATGAACTTTAAAAAAAAATGATTAGAAACGCTAAAATATTCAATCCAATTTGAGTTCCAAGCATTCCAAGCACACCATATATCAGCTTGTTAGCATACAGTATACAAAGTATATAATTTACAGTGTCTTTTTCCCAGAGATCAGAGTTCACATAATTCTTTATTTCAAATAGCTAAAAACAAATGTGTTAGCAATGATTTCTCCAATATTTTGATACAAATTTTTTTAGCAACAGAAAGCGTGAATAAATTATTCATCTTTTGAAATTAAAATCAAAAACCAATTTCAAAAGGGACAACATTTTTTTTTTTGAAAAGTAAAAGATCAAACAATATTGTTAAAAAAGTTTGATATTTTCATAGAATAATTTTGACAGGTTTTGTTTACTAGTATTTTGATAATAACTACAACGCGTTCAATTAATTGTTTTTAGATGTTGGCTAGATATAAAATGAACAAAACAAAACACTTCTGGTTAAAAATTAGTACACTGTTTTACTGCAATGCCTTGGAAACTGTAATAATCAATATTTTGCAGTATTGTGTTTTTTGAATCAATTATATTTTTTTATAGAACACCAAGACCATTGTGTACTATATATGCCCAAACGATCAGTTTACTACAGTAGAAGAGTTAATCAATATTTAGTAATTCTCCGAAAAATCATAAAATGATTTTGGAGAAATTATTAAAGAATGGTACATTAAGTCTTTTTTACCCATAAATGTATTTCGTTTTTACAATGTATGAGATATCTTAACCTAAGGGGGATTATTGAATGCTATGTTACTCTGTAATAATTAAATTTATCACCATGGAAATGATCAACAGACATAACTACAGCAGATATGTTGTTGCGTATTCTGCACTGCCAAGTATATTTTGCCGTTGAAGTCTCGATAAGTATTTAAACTGTCACAATAAAATCTGGTATGATTCAGGTTATTTATGATGCTGCAACAATACACGGGGATGCAATGAAAAAAATGAATGAGCATATTCTTTGATATTCCAACTTTCCGATGATTGTTGAAAGGAAAAGCAAATTATATAAAAATAAATCTTCTTAGATTCCTAATCTCTTGAATGTTTTTCTGGAAACGTTCCCAATGCTGCCTTGTCATTTTCGCACAAACTTGATAATGTATCGTGTTATCTGGAATGTCAAACTCTGTCGACACGCACTATGTACACAAGTTAAGAGTGCACAAGTGTATACAAGTGCAGGTTTACATGCATCATCATGTGCATACACACAAGTGCAATAGGTTCATATGTATCCACGAACATAGGTGATACTAACATGTTGCGTACACATTTTGCGATCACGTGATCCGTGCACACGTGATGGGTACATCTTGATGCGTACTCACACCGCGTGCGCACGCGTAAATCAGAGTTTATGGTCCGCGTCAAAATCTAACACTAAGAGTTTTGTTTCTTCGGTCCCATTGCGACTTCCCACCGCACAAATGAGTTTTGTATGGTTCGAGCGCACCCGCCACACAACGCCGCCACTGCCACCACTGTCCAACGTGACTAGATTGCGAATGAATTCACCAGTATTCAAGTCCCAGAGTTTGACTGTTCCATCGTCAGAACTCGTAATCACAAATTTCTTGTTGAATTGTAAACAAGTAACTGCACTCTGATGTTTGTTTTGCCCTGCATAGAGAAAAAATAAATGAAATTACAATAAGCAATTAGTAAGCATACTGGTTTTACCTACAGAAATTTGTTCAATTTGTAAATAATTGTCAAGTGCACATACTTTTGTACAACCTTTTGCAAACGGACCACAGAAAAGGTCAAGCCAACCATGCACAATTGAAAAATTGGTGCATGGATTGGAATAGGAAAATAAACAAGTAATTACCGTTATGATGTCACGATTGAATTTATCAAAAGTTAAAGTATAAATAAAACAAAAACAAAGAAATTGTAAACATAGATATACAATTATATAAATTTTAAAGTTACGTGAAATAAAACAAACAACTTGAGTAAATATAATGAAAAAGCAAAAAAAAAAAAAAGGCATAATCCAAATTAGACTAAATATAAAAGTAAAATCAGGAGGCCCTAATAAATATAGGAAGGATGTTTAAAAATAAATTAAAATAGAGAATTGAAGAGGTTCCCCAGTTTAAAAGGAAGGAAGATTACCTTGTAGTGTTTGGAGACATCGACCAGTTGTTATGTCCCAGATTTTGACAGTGGAATCAGCATTACCGGATACTAGGATATTGTCCTTAAGTTCCATTCCACTGGTCAGCGACTGATGACCCATCAAGGTGTGTTTACATTCCCCCGACTCTACATCCCAGACACGAATCGATGTGTCTAAGGACCCACTTACCACATGAATACCATCAAACTGAGGAGTCAAAAAAAATTACCATATTTATTATCCACCACTGACAACAATAAATATCACCAAACTGGGGAGTCAAAAAAAATTATTTTGATCCATGAAAGATCATTAAAGAATTGAATTTTGTATTGACTTGTATACACAACCACAGATACATTTTTTACACAGATGGCTACACCAGCAAGCTGAGGAGACAAAATATTCAAACAAAAATTTTTGTAAATTGTTATTAATTATGTATTTTATGGCTCATTATATTCAAAGGATAAAAAAAAAACACAACAAAGTATTGAAATATTGGCAACTTATTTTCATTGTGGTCCTTGCGTAAAAAACAGTCAAGAGACAGCAAAAACCCGACTAAATAAAGAAGGCCTCAGGATTAACGAAGCATGTAAAATCAACTAAATATTGAAGTTATATCTCCGTTTCGCAACCTACGAGTCGCAAAGCAAAATAGAGGTATAAATAGGTATTTACATACTTTTTACTATTAAATGACATCTTTCTTTAAATTAAAAGACAAAATTAAATAAAATAAGGAAGCAATGAACTCAAGATAGTGACTAAAAGCAGGCAAACATGACCACTGTAATAAGCATATTTAATAATTGGCCCAAACCTGAGGCTGATGTGTCGTGGCTGAGTGTTAAATATTTGGATTTGGGTTGTGGACTAGAAAGGTTACGGAACGGTGAGTTATATGATCCATTGTTTTTAAAAAACTCAATCAATCCTCATCCTATCCAAAGCTTCATCTTACCTGCAATGAATACACACGGTTTGTATGACCCGAGAGTGTGTGTAGACACTCCTCCGTTTCCGGGTTCCATACACGGACCATATAATCATAAGCACCACTGACGACCCGACGGCCATCATACTGGACACACCTGACCGCCGCTAAATGGCCCATAAGGACATGCAAACATTGGCCAGTCTCAATGTCCCATACTCGTAAAGTTGCATCTCTCGAACCGCTGACCACTCTACAAAGATTACCATAAAATTGATTATAAAATTATAGTATTGTGGTAATGCAAGGAAACATCTTATTACGCATCAGTTTTTGTAATAGCCATTGTTTATCATTAATAATATAAACACTAATTTATAAAGCACCTATATAAGCAGATGCTCTGTAAATAGCCAAACACTGGTTCAAAAAATGTTATTACGGTACTAGTATTCCCCTAGGCCTCGCCACAACTCACCCTGTATGCATTTTGGTTAGTAAAATGTTAAATGGCTAAAATCCATAGATAAGCATTATCCTCTTTGGGGAAAACATATATTTGCCAAAAAAGATTTTAAGTACAGATAGTACTTTGGTCAGGTACATTAGGCTGCAGAAGTCAAACACAGCAACTTTTTTAGACTTTTACTTTAGGCTAGGAATTAAGAAAGATTCCTCATCTTAACCTAGAGAGGAAATTACATGATTCACTATCAAGACTGATGACTGATTCAATAAATAAATGTTTGTAAATTTAATAAACAATGTCCTAATACTAAACTTTCTCAAGAGATAATATACAAAATACTCTATACATCAATAGTAATTTTGACCATGATATATTTATTATTGGTAGGCTTAATACAGTACCTGCCATTTAGTAACTGTGAAAAATAAAATGAAGAGAAAGAAATGGGATTGTGAAGCTTTTAAATGTATGAAGGTAGCACTAAAAAATTAGAACTCAACTGAGCATGCGAGAATGTTAAGTTCTCGTTGTCGTGTGGATTTTAGGATGCAGTTTGTCCCAACTCTACGTTGATCAGACGACGGTAGAATGGCCATGAATCTGTTAGAGTGTCATGCCATTTAGAAAAATCTACAGCTCCCCTATTAATGTTGCAATTAATCCAACTTACTTATTGCCACTAAGTGACATGCAGCGAACCGTTGAAGTGTGACCGTACAACGTGTGGATGCAGTGACCCGTGTCTGCATTCCATACTTTTAATGTTCGATCAGTCGACCCACTTATAATAATGTTATTTGCCATTTCTGAAGACCAGACACCTCCTGTATGACCAACAAGTGTACGTAAACACTGAAAAAAAAATACAATAACTGAAATAAGCCATGTTCAAAGGGAGAATTTACTTTAGGCAAATTCGTCACTCACACCACGAACTAACACAAGTAAAATCACAGTAGTGCGTCAAAACGAGCGCGTATTGGTTGTCAAGCAATTTTGTATTCTTTACCACACAAAAAATCCTTAACAACAATTTCATGAATTATAACACAATCTACTTTGATTGTGTTAGTTTGTGATGTGAGCAACGAATTGTACTGCTATCAGCACTTGAATTTAAATATGTAATATGTTGTACAGCCAATAATGTTAGAATCACTACTAGTCACTAGAAGTGTTTTTATTATTTTTATCATTTATACAGTACAAAAATCAGGGTACACATACTTTTTATTCAATAATTTCTGTGCTTAAGTTAAATCAAGCTAACTTACAAAGAGTATAAGATAGATAGATGGTCAGTATAACTATAGATACATTTTGTAAACCACAGAGTGATGCGTGCAGTATCAACATGCACTAATAAGGTGTGGGGGAGGGGGAGAGGGTCACCCATAACCCCTGGAAACTCTGAAATTTTAGAGATTTGAAGGGCTAATTTTTATTGACCTTTAATCTCATAATCTGTAAAAATTCAGGGTGTCATATATTCCGTTTAATGACAGGAAAATATGTTTTTCCCCAAAACAACATGTGTAGAGCTTCCTGACCAGGGAGAGCTTTCCACAATGGGAATCCTGCTCTCCCAACCAATTGATTATGATACCAGCACTGATTTGAAAGAATGTCAACCTTTCCTATGGCAGTCAATAAGACACATGAAAATGTATGTTAAGAGTTGGTTCCAATAGAAGGAACATTTTGCAATTACACTTCAAAATTTCAGTACCTACAAAGCCATAAGTATGGGGGGGGGGGAATTTTGGCAGTACACATTAAATTTTGAGTACATACAAAGCCATGTACAAATACAGAAAAACAAATTCTGTCTGTTTCAAACAGTATTAGCATAATGAATGAACGTATATTTTATATGATATGATGAATATTTTGAGTTAATTTGCCTACATAGTTTAATATACATGTTAAAAATGTTTTTTTTTTTTTTTTTTTTTTTTTTTTGGGGGAGGAGGGAGGGCAGCTGTTTTTTTTTTTTTTTATGGGGGAGGAGGGAGGGCAGCTGACTTGAAAGGGCATAAGCATCCCCAACCATTTTTCTGTATGTATAAAAATCAACGAAATGAAATGATACCTTCCCTGTTGAAGCTGACCATACTTTTAACGTATTGTCGTCTGACCCGCTCACAATCCTCTGACCATTAAACTGTAAGCATGTGATCACATGATCATCGTGACCTTTGAGCACCTGCAGGAAAAAAATTCAACTCACAATTTAATTCCTTAAAGATGCATTATCCCATGAAAAATACCACAATAAAAATCATATTAACTTGTATTTAAACACATAATTTTACAGTCAAAAATGATAGAAACACTACTAGTCACTGGCAGTGTTTTTCCAATGTTTACCATTATACAATATAAAAATTAGTGTACACATGTGGCAAAGACAATGCCTGAGAAATGCCTGAAATCCTAAACTTTGAAGGTTAATTAACCAAATATTGTTCTTTAAACAGCTGTATGTTTAAACTTCTGTAACTTCATAACGAAATGTCAGATATAAATGATTCTTTTACCATTTTATAGCTCTCCTTTTACTGTGTAACGCTGTATTATTAACTGAAAATCAATTTCTGTGACGAGTTACTGGTTTGGCTTGTCTTTGCCACATATTCTTAATTCAATAATTTCTATGCTCAAGTTAATAATTTGCATGTCACTTCAAAATGAGTAAGTTATTATTATTTTTTGACATTTCACTTTCAAGTTATTCAAAACCTCTGAAACGAAGAAATAAAATGGCATTTCTAGGGACAATACATCTTTAAAATCAAAGATGAGAATAATAAATAATACAGCAGCAAATAGAATTAGGCTAATTTACAAAGAGAATAAAATATTAAATGAAATGTTTGTAACAATGCTAAAAAAGTCAAAAAATATTTATATATGTCATTATTAGGAAAATATATTGTACGTATTATGAATTTAGCGAGGAATATGCACGCCTGTACCTTGTGTTGACGAATTTCCGCAAATCGCCAGTTATATTCTATTTGATGATGTCTAAGATACGCACTCTTCCACGGACTTCTTGGCACGCCAGAGTTAGACCGCCTCCTGGTCTGCTTCCCATTGACCTCAGCAATCCCGGCTTCCCTGCATTTTTCACGCCATAATAGGTTGTCCTCGCATAGGATACGCCAATACTGACAAGTCTGTGCGGCACGTAGTAAATCCCTTGGTTCGAGGAAAGCTAATACGTACAATGCGAGCTACAATAAAGAAAACAAAGTGAATTATAAATAAATATACACAAAAAAAAAGAATTTTTAAATACAATTTAAAGTTGGAACATTGTAAACAGCTTCATTATAGTGATCAGTTAAATATATATGCTATTATAAATTTGGACTTCCAAGAACATACCATACCTAAAATAAATATTACAGTATTAGATTTCTGATAGTTGTAATAAAGGTATTTGCTTCATTAGCATTAATTAATATTTTATAATAACTAACATAGAATGTTAGTATTCTATTAACCAAGCTTTGATCAAACTACATCAATTTGCCTGTTTAAATTCATTGTTAGCATAAAGCTACGTTCACGGACAATATCATTAAAAATAGGTTCAGTAAACAACTCACAATATTTTGTCAGGTCTCTGGACCGGATTTGGGCTTAATGTGAACGTAGGAATTTGTGGGAAAGGTATAGGAATTTTTTTTTTTTTTTTTTATAAATCGCTACATACTACAAGCCATCTTGGTAGCATGGTCATGTTTGAAACAGGGCCATTCTGTGTATTATCTATAGAAGGTTTATATAAAAAACTAATTAACTAAACAATTTTTTAATTAATGCATGATAAACTGATGAATCGTGCGATGATGTTGCATATATTTTGTAGAATGTACGTTTCATAAAAAAAGTGACTTTGAAATGCAGGACCATCCAGCAGGACCATCCATCATAAAGTGAGAAGCTTGATAACTCAACGGAGTCAGATCTGTCCTATGCTTTTTGGTACAGCTACGAAATGCAAGTCATTAACAACAGATATATGCACATGACCAGATTAACTGCTATTCAAAAAATCAGGGAAATCCCCTCATTAGACTAAATAGTTTCCTGGAGCAGAATTACAAAACATTGATGATACAGATTCAAAGTACACAGTAATTAATTAAGCATTTAGATTTTACAGGTTTTTTAAGTGCCTAGATTGAATTTTTTTTTCAATGTTATCACATAGTATTCAATCAACTTTACTTCATATATTATATAGTACACATAATAAGTATAAATGTATATAAATTTAAGAATAACCTAAGCAGGTATGCCGATGCACCCACTGGTTTGGGTAGAAACCCAGGGGAGGACTACGCCTCCCTTTTCATCAAGAAATGTATAATGGAACGATCGTAGTGGAATGGATAGAAGCAAGTCAAGAACTCACAAATATGTAAGATTTTAAATAAACATATGGGAATGGAGTGATAGTTTAGTGGTCAAGGTGTTTTCTTTCCAATCCGAAAGTCCTAGGTTCTAATCCTGTTTATACTACAACTACCTTGAGACTTACTTAGAATAGACCATTTTATCGGGTTTATTTTAAAACAGGGTCACAACGTCTCACAACTCACGGGGGGACTTCCAGCGGCTTAGCCTAGCCTGAGAGCTAGCTAGCGTGTCAAATAGAGTGCCGTGCGCGCACACTGGTAACTACAGTATGTAGCACGAAGTGCGTAGACGAAGTCCCCAGTGGTACTGTAGTTGCCAGGTTATCCGAAATTTTCATTTCAAATTTCACGAAAATGGTCTATAGTACATTCAGATTTTCTGCTCTTGGTAAAATATTATAGTTAAAAAAATTAGACATAATATTACAAGTTGGAAAATAACAGACAAAGCACATTATACAAAAAATAAGTTTTATAGAATATTTACATATTCTCATTATAACATAAGGAAGTGGTGTCTAATATTACACTATATGTAAACTTTGCCCCATTATATTAATCAGGAGAGAGAAGGAAAAAAAATCCCAAAAATTATTGGGAATAAACTGAAACCAAAGGCAACAATTAAACAACTATAATTTTGTTTGTTTCCATTCTATTTCCTTGCTGTACATTCAAGGGTTTTTTTTTTGGTTTCTAACCCAATTCCAATCGATACTCTGGAACAGAATGAGAGCAAGATATTCCAAAAAGCAGTTCAGAAACTGGCATCTATTACCAGGATGACACAATCATTTTCAGAAATGATTTCATTGTGGTCCTGGGAAAACACCAAAGGTCAACAACCATGTTAATTTTTTTTTTTCTCTTTCTTCCCTTTTCTATTTTTCCCCCCTTCTCTGTTTTTATTCTTTTCCTTTCTTAAACCACAAAGACAACAGATGCGCTCCTCTGATTTTTAGATGGCGTCGCCAACACTTTTGTGTACACTACTATAAACTCTTAATTTAAAATAATTTTCATTTATATATTTAGCTTATGAAGCATTCCCAACGTTCCTCCAAGCGGATTTGTTCTTAAAACTAAGATGATAGCAAAGTGCCTACTTGCCCACAAGTGTGCAGTAGACAATAATATAGAGAAATGATCAGGTTAATGTCAAATTTGATATTCTACTTATATTTTCCAGAATACAGTAGCCATGAGCTTTTGATCACTTTCAAATAAGGAGTACCAGCAAAATAATAATATGCATACTTCTACTGGTTCTACTTCAAAATGTCAATTTTTAAGGTTATTTATGATTTGTCAAAAAAAAAGTATATCAAACGAGGAAAAAAAATTCCTGCTAAATCATGGCCCAGATACAGCAACATAAAGTCAGGCTCCGGAGGGGAACAATTATTTGATAAGTTGTAGAACTGATTTTTCTAAGGTAGAAAAAAGTGGGGAACAGTTAGTACAAATTTCTGCATATTTAAAAACTGGGGGATAAAGGGCAAACAATAATTTCTTCCACTTTCTCCCAGTTTTTAAATATTCAAAAATCTGTATCTCATTTAACCAATCCCTAAATTTTCATCAAACAACTATTTTCTGTCTTAGAAAGAACAGTTCTACAACATATCAACATTTTTTTTTCTCCGGAGCCTGACTTATAAGACAGAATTCGTATCCGGATACAGTATATCACCTGAAGTACAATTTAAGTTGTCAATAATCTATTGCCCTTTATTTTAAACTTAAATTGTTCTACAGTAAGGCTTTCAAAGGACAAATATCCTGTTGTTGAATCAAAACCAATTTATATCAGTAAATCCCGACAGAAGTCACTGCCCATTATATAATAGTCAATCGACCCATTCTACTAGGAACTACCTAATTCTACATAATTAGTAAAAGTCACTGTTAAACACCAATGGAAAAAAAGAATCACAATCTAAATCCTATGGACAATGTTCTTGAATTGTAGATTCTTGGAATCCATTCAGGAACAATTCTTTATTCAATGGAGTGGATCCACCTCCTAAATTCCAATTGTTCTGCATCAAGGTCAAGCCTGGGTCAAAACTATTGTGCTCTGATAGTTCACACCAATTCTTCCACTTAATAACTATGAAGACAATATTTTTCCTGTAATGTTTGGACAGTTAGTTCAAATAACTCCTTCCCTTTGGGACATCCTCCTATTACCATTGTTAAGAAATTTGAAATAGAGGGGGCCCAAGAAGGGACATTTACAGATGGAGGGTCTACCCCACCTGAGCCCCAATGTGACTAAAACTAAGGTATGAATTGTTATGGCTATGACAACTCCGGGCTGGCTGGGGCCCCATTAAATCTGCCTATGATCGAGTAAAGCTCAATATTATAAAACAAAATCATTCATTGATAGAACATTAATTATTGAACATTTATTAATTGAGTTCAGTTATACAGTGGAACCCCTCCTTTGGGACACCCCTATTAAAGGGACACTTTTCCGTGAAACGAGGAGCAATATATCTTTTAACACTACGGCCGACCCCTATTTAGGGGACACCCTTATTTAGGGGACGGGGACGATTTCTGAAGTGTGCCAAATGGTCAAATAACCCCTATTAGGGGGACACTTAATTTTTTTTATCACTTTATCAAAACAACTACAGCAGTCTCAAAGTCAGAAAAATTCATTCATTGAAATTCAACTTCCTATTTTAACACCTTTTGAGCAATAAACCAGAATTTTCTCCCCTGAATCCTTAGAGTAAACGTTGGTATAGGCCTGCTGAATGTGTTACTTCATATAAACCAATCTTGTCAATTTCGACCCTTAACTATGGGGATTTCGTTTCCTTTTTTGTTTTCATGTACTTTATATAGGATTCTAATACATGTACCACAATATGCTCTATTAATTCTACGTATTTACTCTATTCATGCGACATTCATTCAGTAGGAAAAGCTCATATATTAAGTAAATAAAAGAAATATTTGGTCATTAACATTTATAATCATGTAATATTATTGTGAACATTTTATTATTATTATTATTCTATTTAATTTACATAATTTATACAGCACCTTTTCATTGCAGATACTGTACAAAGCGCTTCTTTTCCCCCGGTCATTAGGTCCTCATGTTTTAAGTTTTGATGCTGGTAAACATCGCAGGGGTAGGCAATCCCACCAGGTACCCATATACTCGTGTGTGTAGAGAAGCTATGTAGTGGTGGTTTGATGAAATTGGGAGGGCATAACATGTACCATACAGGCCTGTATGGTCTACCTACGAGCCCAACAAGACAGGTGATACAGAAGCAATTTAGATAAAGTGCCTTGCTCAAGAACACAAGTAAAACAGTACAGCGAGGGACTAAAACTCTGACCTCTAGGTTTATTTTTTTTTAATTAAATAAATAAATATAAAACTATTGTTTTAATTACATTTGTGCTGCTTTCATATTATAAATGTATTGTGTTTACATTGAAAATTGTTGCTATAAATTAGTTCTAATTCTACTTAATTGATTCTTATGTCAATAAAAATAAAATTATACAGAATTTATGTCATCATTGTATGAAAACATGCCAAAAACCAATATTAAGGAGACAATTTTGCATTTTTGGTTAGTGTCCCAAACAATAGGGATACCCTATTCAGGGGACACCCCTATTAAGGGGATACTTTTTTTGGTCCTGAAGGTTTCCCCTTAATAGGGGTTCTACTGTATTTTAGTTGACTTTGTATCATAGATATATTATATTTTAGGTATACGTTCATTTTTGATGATAAAAAAAAAACATACATATTACTGTAAATCCAGATGAATTTTTGGCAATGATCTTTATATTTAATGATCTTAATATTTAATGATCTTTATAATTAATGATCTTTCTATTTAATGATCTTTATATTTAATGATCTTTATATTTAATGAAATATTTAATTAAAAAACATACATATTACTGTAAATCCAGATGAATTTTTGGCAATGATCTTTATATTTAATGATCTTAATATTTAATGATCTTTATACTTAATGATCTTTCTATTTAATGATCCTTATATTTAATGATCTTTCTATTAAATGATCTTTATATTTAATGATCTTTATATTTAATGATCTTTATATTTAATGATCTTTATATTTAATGATCTTTATATTTAATGATCTTTATATTTGGCCAAATGAAATTAATTGCTAGTTTCATGTCCCCGCCCTTATCAAATTTTAGAGCCTCATGAAAAAATTTACTATTTCCATTTTTCAAAAAACATTCATTTTTCCATGGACAGTATTAAAAATAATGGCTATAAAAGAAGGATGTCAAGCATTAGAAGACGTCGGAAATACATTACAAAGATTCATTTTAGTTCTTTTATAAAAAAAAAAAAACTATTTTTACTATTTTCAGCCTGTTAATCATGAGTATATAGGATGGTAAAAAGCAAATAGTAAATACCCTCACCAAAAAATAATTTCAAATCCTGGACGTGAAACTAACAATTAACATTATTTGGCCTTATATTTGCCTTGAAAATTAGCTTAATTCCAAGTCTTCTCATGCCATTTAAACAACAGTATATTATAAAATATCTAGGAGGCCATTCTATAGTACGAATACAATTTCACATATATTATATGAAATGTGTTCCCTAAATATGGTTCTGAAGAAGGCAATCTATGGGGTTCTACTGTATGTTCCTTTGTATTTCGAAAATTGGTACTAACAGATTTGTCAAAAACCATGTCTAATTTTGGTCTATATGTACCATGTTTTTGAATAGCTTATATAACTTTTTCCTTATGAATAGCCAAAGAATTTTTTATCATTTGTCCCATCATTGTATCACCACTAAAGGCTTTTGTAATGTTCAAAATGATACACATTCCCAAAAATTACATGTTTTGTTAAAATGAATAAAATACTACTTTATTTTTGGAACACCAATGCTAGGCTGGTGAATACTCAATTTAGAAATTTTGTCACTAATAGAACAGATGTCAAATTATTGTATTTAACAAGATAAATTCATGGTCAGTAATTTTGCCAGTTTTTGGAATGTCGGACTCAGCTCTCAAGTACTGTTGGCCATAAAGTAAAAAGTTTGCAGAACGCTGGATTAATCCATATTTCAAATCGATTTGGCACGTGCAAATAACACATCCACTGCCATAAACGCAAGTTTATAACTGGCAGGGCTCACTCAAAATGGCAAAAAAATGCCATTTAACACCTGTCCAAACATACCACTGCATTGCATGTAAACTTGCTGGCCTGTGGCAGTGATCACCAAAATACAAACACCTGCCCTGGAGGTTCAGGGAAGGACCCAGAAGTAACTATCATCATCATCATCATATTTTTCAGTCTTATCTTCACATGCGAGGGGTACACTGTTGCAAAGCTAATAAATACTGTATTTTTGCTTGTGTTTCAATCAGTTGATGGAAATGATTTCTATTATGGTGGCAACATAAGAATGCACATTATTAATGTGTCAATTTGTTATATTACATTAAATTTTTGCCATGATGATAACAAATTGATACAATAATAACATACAAATGCTGTTACAAATGTATCAATTTGTGTCATAATTACAATATATTTTGTAACATTGGTAACAAATTAATTTATTGATAACATAAGAATGTACATTATGAATGTATTAATTTTTTACATTATCACAATAATAATTAATTCAATCAATTTCCTTTATCATAATTCTTATTTCAAAGATTGAATGAAAAGGCATCAAGTACAAGAAAGCTTTAAGTTTTGATGCCCTACACAGAAATAACAATAATAACTACAAAATAAAAATAAAAAGATAATAAAAATAAAAAGATAATAGAAGTTATGTTAAATTTTGAAAGATTTTTGTAAAGGAGAGTTAATTTGAAAACAAAAACCATTTTTGCAGCAATCTGAAAGTGTAACAGGATAGAAGTCAATATCTAGGAATAAATTAAATTTTTACAATTTTAAAGTCAGGCTCCGGAGGAAAAAAATTTTTTGATATGTTGTAGAACTGATTTTTCTAAGACAGAAAAAAGTTGTTTGACGAAAAACTGGGGAACGGTGAATGAGATACAGATTTTTTAATATTTAAAAACTGGGGGAAAAAGGGGCGTAACTGCACATTTTTACACCTTATTCCCCCAGTTTTTAAATATTAAAAAATCTGTATCTCATTCACCATTCCCCAGTTTTTCGTCAAACAACTTTTTTCTGTCTTGGAAAAATCAGTTCTACAACATATCAAAAAAATGTTTTCCTCCGGAGCCTGACTTTAAGATAAATATTAGTTATTTGATTTCTCACCTCGCGTGGAAGTAATGATATAAAATCTCTTTGGAACTGGGGTTCTATAACGGCCATTATGTGGCGTACTTGTGATGGTTCACATTTCTCAATCAGCTCATCCAGTGCAAGAAGTTTCTCAGCACCAGTCCAATTCTAAAGAATTAAAAGTAGAAGCAATTTACATAATCTTTTTTCAAGAAAAAAAAAGGGTAAAAGCCAATAGAAGTGTCACAGAAAATTTGCATAGTATTTAGAATAAAATTTGAATAAGCCAATCCCTATTCAAAACTGAGGTAAAATTGGTGTTTCATTGAAAGGGTCCCAGAAATCGCACTCCCACAAGTAAAAATGGAAAACAACTACATCTCCCGCAAATTCATGATATTTGCATATTATCAATTGTCTCCTGGAAGTCAGCACCGATCAGTATCACCATGCACAGCAAATTAAAACAGATGTGTTAAGAAATTTCTCATTTAAACAGATCTCCCAAAAGATTCTTCCAACTGTCATGTCAGTGGATTACAAAAAAAACCCCATCTCATTTTAGTCTTTTAAACAACGTTATGTACATAACATACTTGCGATCACAAGTTCATAAAATTTAAAACAGCAAAATCAGTGTGAATATTTCTGATTTTTTATTAGCTCAGTTCTGTCCGAAATTCAGACCGCAAAAACGATTTGACAATGCAGGCCATACAGTAGGCCCTTTGTTTTTGACAATGCAGGCAATACAGTAGGCCCTATGTTTAATTTGATTGGTTTTTTTAAAAGCATATTTTACAATAAGGCAAATACAAAGTTTCAAGTTTATTAAGGCCTAGACTATTAAAGCCTCATGTTACAACATGATGCTTGGACCTCAGTAAATTAGAATTAAAGGCTCGACTTTTGTCTCTATTGTACACTATTCTTCCTTTTCTGGCTATATAATACACAGCAGCAAATGCATTATGTTATTATTGCAGAAATTTCTGTCCAGGGAGGGAGTAGGGAAAAGAAGACAAATGACGTACCTGAAAAGTTTTTAACCAATTATTAAGATCCGGCGGTGCATGGAAGCGTGAGGACACAAGACGTCTTCTTGTATGAACATCCAAACTTGATCCCCCGAACCGTAAAGCACTTGGCGTGTACCCATTTTCTAGCACCCTAAGAAATGCACTGGGAGAAAAATAATTAAAAATCATCATAATCATGCAATTTTACTAAATGAAAAGTTAACACAACTCTATGAAGAAGACACGATTGGCCTAAAAGAACATAAGCCTGTGATGTACTGTAACTTTTAACAACTTTTCAAAACCAGACTACCCTTTCTTCCTTGCAGGAGTATAGGGGAAGCCACACCACTGACAAGGGGGATATCCCTAAGCACCTGTTGACGCCTTCAATGACCGAGGCACATAATTTATGTCTATGGTAATTCTGGATGTCCAGAAATGGCACTCTCCTATTAACAAATTGAATGTAATGTGTTTTTTTTTTATTTTGAAAAATGTGGAGTCTTCTATAATGGTGGGGAACATAGTCAGTACCCCTCCCTCCCCACTCTTGAATCTATGTAGGTTTGATACAGTAAGAATGAATATGCATTCATGCACAGAACCCTCAAAGGGTTTCCATGATCAGATAGTCAACTTTTCACGTGAGAAACTCTACTATTCCTTGCTCACACAGGCTTTCATTTTTGTTTGAATTTACTGAGAAAGGATTAAAGACAAAAAGCAAAGATAAGCAGGCATTATTAAAGAGATTTTAACTCTGAGGTGGATTAGATACCCATGATGGTTGGGGACCCAAGCTCTCATGCAAATATTATTTAGCTGAGTAAACTCATTCTAAGATGCTAAGTGTTATAGATAAACAACCAATTGTGAATGATCAAACTGAATGTTTTGTTAGATCACAGTCAGTAATCCAGAGTTAATCTGAATTAATCCTAAGTTTATCCTTAACTCTAAATTCTATGTTTGGCTTTAAAGCAACTGATAAGCAACCTATTGTGAATATGTTATCAGAATAAAAATGCATTGTTGGATCATTTTAGAGTGAATCCACATTCCTGTTGAAAATGTAAACATGCTGAATTTTCTATCTTAAGATTGGTTGCAATGCAACCTTTATTGTAAACAGCTCATTGTAAATGACAGTAATTTGATATGTGATCAATTTGAGTTAGTCTACATTGATCCCAATATCTTTTAAACATTCTGAATTCTCAATTATTTGTAATAACACAGCTTTTAGTGCATAGTGTGATAGCACATTGATGTGTGATCACGTTAGATTCAGTTCAAATTAATCCTAATGCCTGTTGAAAATGTAAAATGTAAACATGCGGAACACTCAATTCTGTGATCTGTTGAAAAGCAACAGACAACCTATTTACCATGTGCTGAACTGAGTGACGGCTACCTAACAGTAACAGTAATAGTATACAGTAAATCAGATGTTTAATGACAAACATATCCTAAGATATTGATGTCTGAAAATAATTACATGAAAATACTCAGAATGATGGGGTATGCTAATTTGAAATGCTCCTTAATAGATAGACTGTTCCATTTCATTTTGAGGGGTATCTCTAAGTTTTTTTTTTTCTTTTTTAGAGTTCTTTTATTTAAAAAAAAATTTTTATTAAAAAAAAAAACATATTATGTTATACAACAATGAGTACAAAAAATGGAAATTGCTAAAGACATGCTATTTTTAATGAAGGCTGTGAAGTACTTGATCTGTACAATGTATTGCCATAAAAGTTAACAATTTAAAAAATCATCAGAGAATAAACTACATTACCACTATTACTCAGATGATATTATTAATTAAGGCCAAGTTTTTTAAAAAAAGGACTATGAGGGCATCTTTTTTTTTTTTCACTCCGAGATGGCAAATCCACTGTGGTCGATGGGAAGGGAAACAGCTACTACTTTCTCACTTTTCCCAATTAGACATTGAAAGCAAATAAAAGAAGCACTAGATATGATTTATAGGACCACCATACGTATTCTCAACCACAAATCAAAAAAAGAATTTTACTAAATGTGAGAGTTAGCCAGCTTTTCGTGCATTTTGAAAAATAAGAAAAAAAGGAAATTAAAAAAAAAAGCTTTGGTGAGGCAAAAAAAAAGGATATGTGAGGGGACGAGAAACTAGTAATTTTGTTATTTGGCCTAAAATCTTGAAAATCCTAAAAAAGAGAAAATTAAAAAAATTAAATGGCTTAAAAAAACTAGTTATTAGCTCGTCAGTTAATAATTAGCTAGAAAAATTGTTTCACATTTTAAGTTTCTATTTTCCAATTATTAAACCATGTAAGTCATAAAGATCTTTTTATTTAAATTTATAATAAGAATGATTAAAATACTGTTATTTTAATCATTAAATTTATAAAGGTTAATTTTGCCAAGTCAAAAAATACTGTGTGCCACTAAGCATAAATCTGTGGTAGAATTGAGTGCAATATAAATCCCTGTGATTGACTTTTGAATTAGGGTCTACTGTAAACAGGATTTATACTAAATCAGGGATAAAAACATGTATTTGGCAAAGCATACACTATCCACAGGTACATATACTGTACCACATAGGGGTTTAGACAGAAAAAAGAAGTAGGACGCCCGAAATGGAAGACCTTGTCGAGTAGCGACAGCCCCGAGCGGGGGTGGGTGGTATTTGTTAAAGGTAGACTTGGCCCTACTAGGCTAGGCCGAGCTGAGTAGGCAAAGCCATCCAAGCCATCACGGTAACAGTGGCCGTCAAAAATAATTGACGGCTTACTGGCTAAGCACTTGGTACTACATAACATTGTCAGGAACTAGAGCAGTCACTCCATAGAGTGCATACCTCTGCCCTGTTTCTGGATAATGAATAATACACAGGCCGAGCATGATAAGCAATTTTTTTCTTTTAAATGCTCGAATATGCAAGGAAAAAAGTGAATTGGCGTAACCTTGGCCTTGTCCTTTGACCTTTTCTTACCGAAAATTTAATCATTTCATTCTTATAGATTATTATGTACCATTAATTGTTTGATGCCATTGTATAATACACCATACACAGTTAAGTTCAAGTTTGGATGGGATTAGATTTGGATTAGATTCCTTAGTTTTTTGCGTTAAATTTTGCCAACAGACAGAAAGACAGTGGAGGAGTGAATATAACTTCCTTTGCAGAGGAAATATATAACTTCTAAATATCTGTGGTAATCCAACCCACTGGGTAAATCATGTCTGGTAACCAAGGAATAAATGGTTTAAAATTTGTCAACCATTAACTTAAATTAAAGAGTAACTTCTGAGTTAAACTCAGAAGGAGAACTATGAATCAAGGCAATTTATCCTGATTATTGGGTTTAGAAAGGAATTATATTTTACCTTTTGAAATTCAAAAAGCAAGTTATTCAAAAACTTCATGAAAATAAACAAATTCAAAATACTGTTTAGTATCTTAGGTAATCCGCATTTCTGTACTCGGTATCACGAGTAATCAAGGAATGAGGTTCAACATTTCTCTAACAGTACTGTACACCAGAAGAGTTTTAGCTAATTTTAAACTTTGTATAGAACTGGAGAACTGCAGATCCAGGTAATTTAGCCTGCATTATTGGGATTAGAAAAAAGCATTATATTTACCTTTTAAATTATTTACATAGAATGAGTTGAGTTTAGGAAGGTTTAGCTTTGACCTTCTAACTGTAATCATTTAAAAATTATTTAAGGTGTGTTTCTAGTTGCGATTAAGATATAACGGAAGCTTTAAGGTGTGCAAATAGAAATTGATATAGTTTAGTTATGAATACAATGTGTACAGGGGTTAATATGCTATTGGAAGTACTGTATGATGAAGGAGAAAGGAAGAATTATTGGAATCTTAAGAAATAAGACCAGATAAATGGAAAAGGAAAAAGAGCTAAAAACAAACCCTAAAACCAACATTTTAAAATCTTTTCTTTCATCAGCTGTTTTATTTTTCATTTATTTTTGAAATGGGCCTTTATATTCCTTAGCAAAAGGCTTGGTGAATATCTGTATTATTATTGCTTATAATTATTATCCATATTTTATTTACAAAAATTAAAACCAATTTTAAATTGAGAAAATAAACTGTCGCAAAATGTCAGCTTATGACAACACCTTGATGGAGCACAAAATGGAAGGTTGTACAAGAGAACATTTAATACCGTGCAACTACAGTAAGACATGGAACACGCTCCCAAACCAAATTAAAATTTTTCAACTGAAAACATTTAAAAACTTGATCAAAACCCTTAAATATTTTTAATTCATTTCCACTGCAAAGATGTCCTTTTGCTTTGAACAAAATTATTAGTTTTTTTCTTTCACTTAATTTTAAGTTTACTGTATATTTTTCGTTTAATTATTACCGTCAGCTTGTGGAACCAGTGCTACATCACTGAAAGTGCTATCATTTTAACGACAAGACGAACGAACAAATAAATAAATAATGTATATCTGAAGCAACATTTTAGCTATTAAGGCTTGACCAGGGGTGGGCATAAAGTGAATTTTTGATTTAACACGGACGGCTGCACCCACATTTTGATGCTTTCAGTGTGCTTACAAAGGCCTTCAATCATTCCCTTTACACCAATCTATTTCCAGTTTTTTCATTATAGATGATCAGTGTCAGTATTGTCCACTATAGTAGCTTGCAATATACTTTTCACTACAAAATAGAAATCACCAGCTTTCAATTAAAAAAAAATATCAATTATTTCTAAAGCATTCTACAGTTTATCAAATTGAGTGAAATAAAATTGAGATTAACTTGATTAATTGAATGATTGAACAAAAGTTTTCTGAGTCTCTTTTATTGTGAAAATTATTAACTGTGGTAGAAATTTTAAGGTCATAAAAATCATGGGATTTATAATAATCTTTGCCTAAATCCTGTCTGCATAATATTCTATAGGGCAACAAAAGTGCACATGCCTTGAGGGGTACTGTATCTAAAAAATAACTCTCACCTTGATTCTATCACTTTATGCATTGAGACCAGATATAAAACACCTTTAATAGGGAGAGATTGTCTGTTTACATATCTAATTCTCTTGATCCCTATTACTGTATGACCTACCTTATGAAAATATAGGCTGGGGTGAAAAGTAATTCAATTCCCAGACTAAGGTACTTTCTATAGTGGAATTAAAGATAGGCTATATATTGTCCCTATAGGCTTAATTTTGCACATAAAAATTATCAACTTGAATTGAACATAAAAATTAGTGTATTAAAAAAGTTGGGGCACTGCAGTTGCTGAGTGTCTCCAACGGTCCAGCCCAAATTTCCAATATCCAATTAGAATGATGTCCATAAAGGATTATTATTATATAAATAATGTAGGCCTACATTCTTTCATCTTTTAATCACTAAACCTCTCCTTTTAACAATAACCTCCTTTTAGTTTTACAGTACTTTGTTCATAAATATTTTTGTAACATAAATATACTTTTTAAAAATTATTTTGAATTTTTTTAACAGCATATTTATAGACAGGTGAAACTCTGCAGCTTAGCTGATATTCCGGAGTCCTCTAAAAAAAAATTAAAGTAAAGCTACGTTCACATCAAGCTTGGATACGGCCTGGAGCCCAGACAAAAAATCGCGAGTTATTTCGTTTTTCTAACCTCAAACACAGAAAACATCTAGAGAGGTCATTGATGCTCATTGCTCATTGGTCTAATAAAAAACATACGATTTCACGATACAAATGGCTTTCAGATCCATCGTCTGGATTCGGAATCCGGACTGAAAATTGTACGAATTGATGTGAACGGTCCTTTCCCATACCACTGAACCAATTTTCACAATTTTTATACGGGCAACCGGACCGGATCAGGGATTTGGTGTGAACGTAGCTTAAGTCTCATTTATGAGGTTTACATGTAGGCAGTAGCTACAGTATATTTGGGCTGTTTAGAAGCTTTGCTTTTTTGGTTACGCCACTTGTTGTTAATTAAGTGGCAATCAAATAAATTGAAATTGAAAGACCATGGGATCGGAAGAAAAAACATTTTAACCAGGCTACAATTCCAATACACTGTGAATGGTATTTTGAAAGACAACCATCCTATAACACACACACACATGAGCTGGCATACTTCTGCTAATATTACCTCTAAAAATAGATACCCCATACTAACAACATATCAATATCTTTGAAAAGAACATCACAATCTTCCAATAACATAAAATATACTATGAGATGTACTGTAGCATGGTGGTTAAAATGCTTTCCTTTTAATATCAGGTTCTTAGGTTGAAATTAAGAAAAAACAACCATTTTTTTTTCTCTTTCCTTTATAAAAACATTAATTACTTCACCAGAACAAAAAAAGAATAATTCAACAAAATCAATAATAACAAGATCAATTCAAGAAGTTTAGAAACAAGATATTCCTATTGCAATTAGCTTTAAAGAAGCTACTATATGAGATTATATATAATTTTGAACATACATAACAGTAGAAAACATACACTTTTCTCAGACTCCTCTTTTCCCACTGAAAGAGTACACAATAAAAATGGTTTTTTTTTCAATTTTTTACGTAACAAGTACTTTTGCCTACATTTTTAACCCCTGTACGTTTTGTAATCTTTTGAAAATGTTGAAAATTTTGGATGGTTTTTTCCTTACTTTTGTATCTCCACTGACCGGCATGCCTTTTTCCCCGGAGAGCCTCCCTTTTCCTTTATTTCTGATTTCCGCTTCATCTGAAAAGAAATATATATATATATTAGGCACATTTTTTTAAAGATGATATCATACCTGTACATAATTTTTTAAGTACTGTACTTAGATGCTTTATTTGTTCTTTCTAAAAAACTACAGTATTTTTAATTTAAAGATGTAGTGTCCCATGAAAATATCATACCTGTACATAATTTTTTAAGTACTGTACTTAGATGCTTTATTTGTTCTTTCTAAAAAACTACAGTATTTAATACAAAAGAAAAAGTTATACTTTTACCGAAATACTGTAATATCAATAAATTAATTTTATCATGTAGTAGAGTATTACTAATTTTTCCGGTATGTCCTTAGACACTGTATGATAACTGGAAATGTTAGAGCCAATAAAAATGTTTTTATTAGTTTACAACCCTCACGCACATGTCCTCTATGTTACTAAAAAAAATATTTGTTTTTTTCATTTTGTTAATTAAATAGTGAGTATTGTTTGTTTGTAGATTATTATCTCAATCATGTTTTACTTTGAATATCAATGCACCAGCAAACAACTCAATGGTGATATTTGGCTTTAGCAAAATAATTTAAAAAAAAAAAAAAAAAAAAAAAATCCTTCCCTCATCATTAATTCCAGCCTACATAGGGTGATAAAGTAAGCTAATTATTTGTTTATAGGGCTTCACCTACAGAACCTACAGAATGGTACTCCACCCAAAAAAGTAAAATGCTTTAGTAATATTTTTGGATCAACAAAAAAGAAACTGAATATACAGTGTATTAAATTGAATATTCTAGTGGATCCAGATGAATTTTTAAAGTAATACAGTATTCTGTAATACATACAGATCTACTGTAATATTTTCTATCACTCGCAGAACATCTACTTAGAGATTTTGAGGAAAACCTGCTATAACAGTTATAGTACTGGAATGGTTTTCCTACACACCACTTTCCATAGGCTACTTCCACTCAGAAAAAGCTTCTATAGTATTAACACTTCCTTTTTCCCCAGTCTACTACCTCCAGTACCACCAATGAAGGTTGGAAAGCCTACAGTAGTACCACTTCCTATGAGCATTGGAAGTCCTAATGTAGTGCAAACCTCAACATTACTGTGTCACATCCTATTACTGTAAATACACATACTGTACTGAACTGTACCTGTTACGTCTACATTTCAACGCTTGTACTGCAATTATTAGAGTGTATTTAAAAACAATTGTTGATTGATCCTCAATGTTTTTATATCTGCTTTTATATATTTTTTAAAATGTACCGTAAATTCAACTCTTAAGTTACAATAAAGGTGAAATTAAAATTTAAAATTACAGTATAATTAATTAGTTAATTCAAAAGATATAAAATAAAGGTTTGTGTTTTTGTACCATGGTGAAAATACTTTTGGAATTTAACCTCGGTATTAACTATACTAAACTCAAAAGAGCAAAAAAATATCTGTTTTGTTTAACCAATCTATTATAATAATAATAATAATAATAATTTTAATTTTTTTCTATTTATAGTACTTATGGAACCAGATACAGTAAAATTCTTTGAGAATACTCAAAACAAGTTGGTAAATTATCTAATAACCTTTTTCACTTTAGTGTATATTATTTATTTTTTCCCTTTAATATTTTGAATATTTTTTCTGCAAGTCTTGGTTTTTTTCTCTGACATTATATCAAATGTCGCAAGTACATGTACTGTATTTGCTTTCGGCTTTGATTATTAGGAAATATTAAGCTCAAAACAACTGTTTATAATTAACATTTTTTACGACTTTCTTATTTTTTCATCATAAATTTTATTTTTTCTTTTATTTTTAATGTAAGCCTTAGTATTTTTCTTCTACTGTAGATACATTGACATTTTGTTAAATGTCAAATGTATTTCTATTGGTTTGATTTAGGAAATATCAAGCGAAAACAGATTTGTTTTCTACAACATTCAATTCAATAATATTAATAATCTTTTATGCTTTCATTAATTTTTGAAATTTTTTTCATGTAAACTTTATGCTTCAGTATTACAATTTTTATCTGAGATAGCAACATTCTGTCAAATGTCATGAATACTGTACTTTGCCATCGGCTATGATTACGAGAACCTCAGCATGATGGTAGATGGAGCAACGGGAGACATAAATTCTTCTGTTACTTAGCTTTTCTACTGGGCTCTTAGGGGAGTACAGATGACAAGAGTATAGTTTTCGACAACAAGCCGGAAACCTCTCACTTCCTACAAGTATTTAGAACAGGTTAAATGCGGAAGCAGCCTAGATCCTTCTTAGCTTTAGTGTACAGTAGTTGTACATTTAAGAAGAGAATATCCAAAACCAGGTAAAAAATTATGGGAAATGTCAATTTCAATTTTTATTTCAATTTCATCTTTATTGCAACTTAAGAGTTCAATTTACATTTTAAAAATTCACACACAAAAATTTTTTTAAAGCAGACATAAAAACATTGAGGATCAATCAACAATTTTTTTTAAAATACACTGTAATGTAATAATTACAAGGGTTTAATAACAAACACACACAGTTCAACCATAAAAAATACAATAAAAATTAATTACAAAAAAAATTAAAACAATCATCCAATTTTTATTCTTTATTTAAACTTTATTTATAGAGGATAACCCTTCCAACTACTGTAGACCAAGAAGGCCAGCTGATGTTCAGGGGCCCTCTATTAAATATATAAACACATCAGAAAAGATGTAGAATAATAATTAGAAAAATACAAAAGGTACAAAAAGACCCCAAAAAAAATCACAAAAGCATAAATATATAGGAAAAAATATAGGAAAAAATAAATAAATTATTTAAATTAGATCAACATATCTAAAATAAAATAAAATAAAAATTACATTGATTCAAATCAAAACAGTAAAAAAATGATATTACTATATTATGATTTAATGGGTACTATTTATTCTATTAATTTATTAACTATTTAATTTATTTTAAAATTTAAATTTAATATACCATATGTTTATCACTTGATTATATGAAAATAAAATGGTATATTTTTAATACACAGAAAAAGGTAAAGGTGATTATCTATATAAAGTGTAATAATATTAAAAATATACTGTAAATAGGGCTGCAATATGTCTTAGCTTTACAATTTAAGAATATGTACCAGATAAACAACTTTGAATTTCGCAAGTAAAAGAAAGTAAAGTTTATCACTGAACTGAAAATAGTATTTTTTTTATTTTTTTGCACTTTGTAAATAGAGCCACAATACTTATGTTGGAGTATAATTTGTCCACATGTATAGTACAGTAACTGCTTTTAAATATCCAAAAACTATCTGTCATCATCGCCTTTGGTCATAATTGAATACTGGTACACTAAAGTGAGCAAATATATTTTATTATAGATTTTTAAAGGTATTTATGTACAGTATAATATTTTATATTGTTTTGTGTATTACAGTTAGTTGATTCAGTTCGTTTGTTGGTTTTCCTCTTTTTAAAATTTTTTATGCCCCAATTTTTGTTGGGTTTATTTTAATGTTTTAATGTACTATATTGTTGTAGGCCTATGGTACAGTATATATGGAGGTTCCCATATAACTTTTGATAGGGTCAAATTAAGTTCATGGGTGATTGCAGCATAGGTCAGATCGTTGATTATTATTACATTTACTATGCTTTCTTGTTGAATTTATTTGTTCAATGTCACCTTGAAAACAAGGTCAAAATAAACATTAATGATACAGGTACAAGGGGGAAATCCCCATGTTGCATTCCATAGGAAGTGACCTTGGTTCCATGTTCAAACAATAGGATACATTTGAATAGTTTCATCTGGGTCTGCTTATTGTAGTTGTAGAACTGTTTTAATCGGTAATAAACCATGCACAATCTGCAAACTTTTGTAATGTTATCAACAGGAAAAACAAAAAAGATACAGATTTTCATTTAGCTGAAATCATTAAAGATTCCAACTTCAAGAGACTACTTAAAATAATTTGTTAAAGATGTGTCACACATCAAGCAAAGTTGGTATAATCCCTTGAGTTTTCCCCATTATAGATACATTTTTCACGAATTATTTAATAAAAATCCATTATTTTCTCACATACAATATAATATTATTTCTTTAACTCAATCGAAAAGCTATGCGGTAGTCTAGTTAAGAAAATGTGGTTATCAGTTGGAAGGGCATAGGTTAAAGCTTTTGCATTCCGAGGGGTTATTTTGGGTTAAAAACTAGACTTCCTCAGACAATAGTCGTAGATTTTTAGCCAACATTTTATCCTGACCTAAGTTTCTTCCGTGACCCAGGCTACCTACAGCAGGGTTATGGATATGAGATCATAGTACACAACAGCGGCTTTGTTCTAAGCCTCATTTCCTTTAGCTTGACCTGATCAAACAATGCCTACAAACAAAGACCACAGGGAGGCTAAGCTAATTGTCAGCCTGTGAAACAAAGCCTTCTGAGGTAAAATAATCCCATGGCAACCAAACAGACTACAATAGAACCAGGCTGTGGAGACTGCAGTAGGGTGCATTAAGCTCAGTGGAGTTACTTTCTCATTAGGGGTCAGGGCAGAGGTCATGAGAAACATCAATCAAGCCATGGAGGTTTAATACCATGAAATCTATCTATCAAAGGATCACAAATGTACTACATCTGCATAGCATTTTTCAATAAAAATGGATCTCATGAAAAAATACAATTTAAATAGCCACACTGAAAATGCTTTTTGTACTTAACATTCATAAACAATTTAATTACCTTTGAAATAAATCTTAATCTAGCAAATTATACCAGTGTTTAAAAGATAAAAGTATAGGCAAACTATGTTTATATTTCAGTTCAAACAGAACTGATAACTTAGAGAGGAAATATGAATACAAATCACAAAAAGTTTAAATTTTGAAGGTAAGGCCAAATAAAAAAATATACTTGCTAAGTGTCACCACCTGCCAAAATTTTCTAGCCGCCTCTCTTTTTTCGGTAGTAGTAGGCGTACGTATTTAATTTGGTTATACACCTAGCCACGCCCTAGGCGAGAAAGACAAGACGATTTACACACAATCGTACATAGGCCTATTCCTATTACTGTAAACAGAGAATAAATTCCAATTAAATAATTGTGTCAACTTTTTTTTATTAATTTATTTTTGTATTTTTCTGTGCCTTGCCATGCCCCCTAAGCTTGATGTTACTCTTACCTAATGTAAGCATGAGTCTGAGGAATTTGATTTATTTATTCATTTTCATTACATTGGTGAAAAGTGTGTTTGGTACAGTTCGCTTTTTATCCTTTATTGAATGAAAATGGTTTTGTTTTCTTTTTTTATTTGGCCTACAGTAGTATATTATTAAATTATTAAACCTTATAAATCAATTATACTACTGTAGCTCCAGCAGTTTTAATTAATTCTTACCTTACTCCTTGTCTCACATCCATCAACCTCACTCCCAGATGATGCTGACTGTCGTATTGACACCTCTGCTTGATTCTTAGCCGGAGTACCCTTGCGGTCAGATGGCACATAGCTCCGTAAGCTTTCTCGCCTCCGTGTTAATATACAATTCGTATTAACATCCATGTCAGAGTCATTGTTATTAGAGCTGTGCCTACGCGAAGAGCTCTGTGAACGATGTTGAGATGAGGGACGTAGAGGGTCCCGTTTAAAAGTTCCACATGTAAGGAGAATTCGGTTTTGCTCCAGCACACTATTGCCAATCCCTGGCACTTTGGTTAAATCATATATACTTTTGAATCCATTTAGACTCTGTAATATTATAGATAAGACATAGGAATTAGCATAATTCAAGTACAGTATATGAACAAAGAATCCTAACATTTATTAACAGTTTTTTATACAGCACTTACAGTTATTAGGGATGTACAGTAGTTCTGTTTGGTGGGCGGGGCCGCCCAGCCTTGGAAGTTTTTTACCCATATACAGTAGTAGTTTTCTATAGCTCTACAACACTGAGTTATCAGTATTTTTTATTAATTTTATTGGTTGAGTATGGGACAGGTCACATGAGATTGAATTAAAATGTGTACCGGCACATGGAGGGACTATCAATGATCCTTGAATAGTTACTTTTCAGCTGCCCAAAAACAACAACATTTTCAAATGCAACATGAAAGAGAAAATAAGCAAGGTACCATGTCAACATCACTCTATGCTTTTATGACTAGTGGTTTTACAGAAGATAATTTCCAGTAGGTATCACTCTCTGGAAAGTAGTTGATGCTGGTCCATTTGGTACTAGTCCATTTGGTACTTTACAGTACTCCATTTGGTCCTTACAGTAGTCCATTTGCTACTTACAGTAGATCATTTGGTACTTACAGTAGTCTTGGTACTTTCTGTACAGTAGACCATTTGGTACAGTACTACCGTAGTCCACTTGGTACTTACAGAGTAGTCTATTCAGTACTTACCGTAGTCCGTTTGGTACTAGTCCATTTGGTACTTACAGTAGTCCATTTGGTACTTACCGTAGTCCATTTGGTGTTAGTCCATTTGGTACGTATTTACTTAGTCCAATTGTGCAATTGAGCAATTCGAAGAAGTTTTGAATTACAGAATGAAAGTGTTGCCGAATCCACCAAAAATCAATCAAATACGCAGTCCACTCTATGCAGTATTTTGCTTGCCTCATCAGTGAAAATTTTTTTTATGTATTAGCCAAAGTTGAACTTGATTGATCATACACTTACAGCACTACTATAGTCTAGGTAGGCGTAGGCCGGCTTTCCAAACAACAAAACAGTGACTACGCATATTTTTCTTACAAATTTGTATACAGTTGTTGATTGTAAAGAAATGAATGTTTCCCATTCGTACAATGAGATAGAATATTTCATGAGGTGAAAGATTGCATGTTCTATTCAACTCAGCTACACCTCATTGAACAGAATGTCCAATCATGTCATATTTCTCCCGTTGCACTCATAAACATTCATTTAAAAAGGCAAAGGAAGACTGAATAGAAAATAATACATTCTACTGTAGAATAGTAATGCTGGCTGTCTATGCTTTATGCAAAGATACATTTGGTAGTTAACAATCATAAATTAAGTGTAGATAAACAGATAATACCGTAAAACCTCGAATTGAAGCCCATCTCGAATTGAAGCCCCCTCTTTAGTTTGGAAAATTAGCCTTGAAAAGAAGTCCATGGGCTTCTTTTCAAGATACTGTACAGTACATGTGCAGTAGCATAGAGTAGGCTTCTTTTTAAAATAGTATACACTATAGAATACACTGTACATGAATTTCAAAAAAACTAAATAAATTAAAAACAAGCTTGGTTTATACTGTACTGTAGTTTAAGTGATTTACTGTAATGTCAGTTAAATTCTCCATGATACAGAGTGATGTCAGTGGCTGTTGTTTAATAGTACAAATTGGCAAAATTTACAGTACGGTACTCATTTTAAAAAGAAGCCCCCCCCCCCCTCCAACATCTACTTCTACTTTGCAAAGTAGCCCCGAAAAAAGGCCATCTTGGAATGAAGCTCATCTCGAAAAGAAGCCCCTAATGTTAGAAAAAAAAAAGAATCCCAGGGCTTCAATTCGAGGTTTTACGGCATCAATAAAATAACTACAAATGAACAGGCTACAATTAAAAATTTTAGATCTGTTAATGGACAAGACTTCTTTATATTTGGTTTTATCGACCTGACCACCATTAATAATTTTGAATAAAAATAAACTTTTATCTTTGGATATTTAGCACACCTCCACCATGAAAAATGGAAATTTCAGGGGAAAAAAATCTTCTTTATAAATAAGCATTTATCAATCTCATTACCACAGTATGTATAGCCTACATTCATCAATATAATTTTATTTTTATTTTCTCCTCTGCCTAGATACTTTTGGCAAAATCATTTTGCTGAAAATTAAAAATAATTTATATATATATATACTGTATACAGTATATTTTTATATATTTTCTGCGATCTGACAATCTTTAAAAAAGTAAGTTCACTAAACAAGGTATTTAAATAGACTTGCTATATTACTAAAGTAGGTACTACAGTACTGTACATGAATTCACCTGCTCACCTATGACCCTATGAACTCTAGACAAGTAGTGTAATCCTATCCCTGCCCTAACCCATACCGTACAACAACCAGGCAGGTCTTAAAAATTCCAACGTTTCCCCATTACAGACCAATCTACTGTACTGTATTCCTGAAGTACTGCAACTATTTTCACTTATCTGAATAGACAGAGCTCTTACAAACTGCTTTCCATTTTTTAATTATTTAATTGTATAATTTATATTCACTTTATTTCACACATTTCATAAATAAGGAGGAAGTTGTTAACATTAATAAATATATTTACATTACATTTAGAACACTTTTTATAAGAACACCAAGGCTGAAATTATTTAAAATAAGAACAAAATACAGTAAGAACAAATTGAGGCTGAGGTAATGTTAAATGAGGTTTTTATATTACTGTAGTAGAATATACTGCTGTACAATAATAGTCTATCTTTGACAAAATAAGAACTGAAATTGGCAAAAAAAATAAGAACACATACTCAAGGTTTAGGTTTATACCACTGTAGAGACTTCTGGATCGGTTAGCGCTAAACGTTACCAGGATCCGGATAAAATAACGGTTAACGAACGCTATAGGTTAGCAAATTGAGCACATTTCTATCATATGCCTACCCAATCACACGTACACATTTCCAATTTTACTGTAGACAGTGATCCTACTGTCATTTTCTTGATCTGGATCTGGGATTTTCTTGTGTGAACGCAAGGGCGTATGTTAGTGATCTGGATCTGGATTTAGCATGTACAGTATGTGTGTGAACATTGACTCTCAAAAATGTAACATTTTTCTGTTACCATAGTTCCTCTGGTAACTTATAAAGTCTACCCAGTTGAACAAAATATTGGGACGATTTTGGATCGATAGTGCCTGAAAATTTGTTTTGAAATTTGCCCTTTTGGCATTGCATACATGACTGCTTCAGAAAGGGTTTCAAGAAATACTTGACATTTAAAAAAAAATGTATAGTAACTTATCAAAGAACTTGAAGCCACCCACTAATGACACCACCAACTACAGTTACTACTGTAGTTACTCAGTGTTCTCCCGAATCCGTTTTAGCTGTCAATTTTACCAGTAAAAATAACCAACCAGTAAAAATTGTGTGTTGGTGGAATAAAAAAGCACATTATTAGGCCTAGGTTGACTAGGCTGGCCTTTTTTCAATAAACGAACATCATTCCTTTCCAGGCCTAAGCTATGATTACGTATTATTGTTTCTTGAAGCAATTTAACTCCACTTAAAAGTGGCAATATCTCAAGTTGTGTGCACTTAGCTGGCTCTATATGAACAAATTTACCAGTAAAAATTTTTCAATTGGGAGAACACTGGTTTCTGTACTGCATGCCTACATATACTGTATCTATAAAATTGTTAACATTACAATTACATCCAAATTATTTGCTTTGCATTTATAGTAATCAAAAGCTACTGTAATTAGTAATAATAGTATTTAACTAAATACAATACTTCTGCGCAAGACTATACTATAGCTGGAATAAAAGATTTAGATCATAAATGTCCAGGGATATCTTTTCCTCAGCCTCAATTTGTTCTTATTTTGTTCTTACAAAAATTACAATAATTTGTCATATAAAACATGATTTGGAGTATTTGAGCCTTTGTTAATAAATTATTCTTTTAAAAATGGACCATTTGGAATGAAACTCTTACCAAAATAGTTTCCTTGATGCTATGGAATTGCTTAATGACCCTCACTCAAACATTTTCTTCACAATATCGCACTGAACAATCAAATACACATTCACACTTTAAGAATCACCACAGCATTTCGTCGATAAATCTCACTAAGAGAAAACAGTGTAGAATGACAGAAGTGAAGAGGGTGGGAATGTAAAACGTGCTATGTCAAAAGACAACCAGCATTGATGATGATGATATAAGACACATGGTATCGCCAATATTTCAGGATGTTTATTTTTCAGCTGGATGCCTCATCACCCCACAGACCTACTACAATCAACTACATCTACTTCGCCTGTAATTTGTCATAATTTGAATGAACAATATAAACAGTGTATTATTCTTTCCCAGGCTTCTATCTACCGATAAGTGGCCTATCCTACTCAGACAGGACTTGTAATGTTTACATCAAGTGGGATAAAGGTCAAATTACACAGATAAGTCTCATATTATTCAGGATACAGAGGTCATTGAACTATGAATGAACCTGAACCAAGCAGGTACGGGAGGGGAATTTCACTGTTTTCAAAAGTGGGTTTGCCACAATTTACATACTGCAAGGAAACAGAGTACACTGTACATTTTTATTTATATAGTCATGGAAGATCCTCATTCTTTTGTTAGTTTTTAGTAAAGTTTAAATATAAACAAATATGAACTTACGACATCCGTAAGTAAATACTCTACCATACTTAACCTTCTTCCCCAGTCATTTCCGAAAGTCTGTCTTAATAGAACTATTTTTCATTTGATATTACCTGTTCACTCTAAAATAATTATTATTGTTCCTGTGTTCCTGATTGAAATAGGCAAACATTATTTCAGTCATAAAATTAAATCTTACAGTTAATAGGGTTTTCTTCATGTATTATAAAACATTTTACAATAATAATTACTAATAAGCCTTGACATGCTGCATTATTATTAATTATTATTTATTAATTATTATATTTATTTAAATATTATTATTATTATTATTATTAATTATTATTATCATCATTATGAAATGATAAATATTTTGAGATGCAATGATTCTGATTCAAAGAAAAATGACTTACAAGTCTTGTATCAACTATAGCTTCGGCTCTTGATCGGCCAACACCTATTAACCTGGCTAATTCATCAACTGCAGCGGCGTTTATATCAACAAGACGCGTCACCATTTTGAAAAGTCATTAACTGGTGAATTCCAGGTAAGAAATCCTTGGTGGACAATGAAAAGAAAACTCATCTGAAATATATGCATAATTCAAAACAACAATAAATAGTGACAATAAGAATGGAAACTGAAATAAATAATTCATACTATGTATTGATGTACTAACATCAATAATAATAAATTTATATAGCATAATGGTTTTAAAGCATTTTAAAGTCCAAGCACTGTAACAATGAAACATTAAACAATAAAATTTTGTGGATGAAAATCTGCTAATTGACTTTTTTCCAAAAGGAAAGATAAAATGAACTAATATTATGAACAATAAACTAGTTTTACTATGGAGAATGTGCCTATTTTTTAAGACCGGTCCTACTAAATAGCGCCCGGTAGTAGCGCCCGGTAGTCCATGGTGGCGACCGCTAGCGCCCGGTAGGTTCTCGCATGACGCCCGCTAGCGCCCGGTGCCATAAGTAAGATTAAGCAGCGCCAGTAAGTTAAAAAATCAGGCCTACTCTGATTTGTAAAGAAATTTCTTTCTCTGCTTTATGGCATCACTATAAATAATATTAGTAAAATTTTCAGTTCAAAATATTCTTTTCATTTTATACAGAGAGCATACTCTGGTTTGTAAAGAATTTCTCTCTGTGTAAAATAAATTATAAACAATATTTTCAAATTTACTGAAGTATTCGGTACATTTCCACGTCAGGTAGGGCAAAATTACACCTATACATGTTTCTCCTGACGCAAATCCAGTTATTGTCTATTATTCCATCACGAGAATAACAATTACTATCAATATCAATTTAATTTATTAAAAACGTAAAGGAATCGCCTACAGAGGATGTTCCTTTAATTAAAGGATGTTCCTTCGATTATTAATATTATTCATTAAGCGAAAAGTAAAACTGTAGCCTATATTTAATTTTTTTACATAACTTTTTGGCATAAAATGTGATATTTATATATTATTAACATGTTGCATGAACTTAATTAATTAAGAAACATGACCGGGCGCTACCGGGCGCTATTTAGTAGGACCCTTTAAGACCTGTCCAGACTGCCAAATTTGATTAAAAACGGCCCTAACAGTAGATACTGAAGAAACATTCAATATGCCTAAATATGGTCATGATGACAAAGACAATTTGATAATGGACAGAGCCTCAGAAAAGTCTGTTTCGGACAAGAACAACTTCGGCTGCGCAGCTAGCAAGAGGACTACCTTGAGTCACTTAGGATAGGAGGTCTAAGGCTAGCCTAGAGCCTACGTCTAGGCCTAGCTACTACTACTAGGCCTACTACTAGCTAGGTAGCTAGCTAGGCTAGGCCTGGGCTTGGCAAACACGATCTTCAATTATCGTAACTTTGATGCATTGAATTAATCAAATATAATAGTAAAATGTCAACATAAGAACATTAAAATAACTTAAAAACTAATCTGAATCAACCTACCAAACTTAAGTTCTATTTTCCTTCAAATATAACAAATTTTCTGAAGTCACTTTTACAAGAAACATTGTCGTCGCGCTTTACTGCATTAATATTTTTTCCTCTCGTTCTCTTCGTTTTCCAAAACGCGCCCCCACACTGCACTAACGCCAGCATCGTAGTGGTTAGTGTGATTCCAGCCGTTTTCCTGACAACATTACTCTCTGCTACTCTTAGCTGTGAAAGTGAAAAAATAAAATTATAACAATAAGCTTAACATAAATTACCAAGTACGAATATCATAAAAACCAATGATCATAATTATTTTTTAAAAAAATCAAAAAAATAATTACATTTTTAAGCAACGGTTAATTAGTAATAAATCATAAGTGTCGTTAGATGGGGATGTAGCTCAGCGGTAGAGCGCCTGCTTTGCATGCAGGAGGCCCCGGGTTCAAGCCCCGGCATCTCCACCATAATTTTATTTTTTTTTCTTCTTCTTCTTTTTTTTTTCTTCCACAACTTTGTGCTGTGATTTCTTCCACTTCTATCAATTGTATCTATTTATTTTATTTATTTGGTATAAAAACATGACATTACAAACTGCAGCCAAAGCTGAAATGGTTTGTATCCGGGAATAGTGAAATTACACTGTAATTTCACTGTTCCCTGGTTTGTATTACAATACACATACAGTACTACAATACACGTACAGTAATAAGACACATACAGTAACATTCAATAAAAAAAAAAAATCATTACAAATGATTATTACAAAAATAATAATATGATTATTGCGACAATTAGGCTATCACAAATATAAAAAGGCAGATTCATTATGTTTGTGCAATGAAAAATGTCATTGAAATTGAAAAAAAATATATTTTTATTTACTACCCGTCGCCTGTACCGCCGTAGTGCATCGCCACCTGCCGATTTTCAGCTGGTTCAATTCACTGCTTCCTTTTTACCTGCATCCAGGGCCACCAAGAGGAGAAACTGTAACCATGGAAAGGTGTCAGTTGTGTGTGGGCCCCCAGTTACGAGCGCGAGGCTCGAGAAAGATAGCGCCAAAAGCGCAAACTTTTTCTCTTTTTTTGGATGGGAAGGGGTTTGGGTTTGGGCCTGTCAATCTGGAGGGGCCCATATTAGTGGACCCATGCCATTATTGAGGGCCCGTAATAGTAATTATTAATTTTGCAAAAAAAATATTGAAACAAATGCTATCTGCAATTTCTATGGGCCCCCTGTTAAGCTTGGGCCCGGGGATCTTTCCCCTGCGCCACCACCCCCCTCCCCCCTCTCGGTGGCACTGCCTGTACTACAAATAGGATCTGTGCCTGTACGTACCTATTTACCTCCATGTAATTTGTTTCATGTAACTTACTTTATGTGTTTTTCCATTCCATTTTATATTGTATTGCCGTTAATTTGTTTTACTGGGCCCCTTCATATCAGCCATAATGAAAGTGCTATCTACTTAATTTTTTAATTGAATATATAGCCTAAATGAATAAATGAATGAATGAATGAATGCATGCATAAATGAATGAATGAATGAAGAATGAACGAATGAATGAATGAACGAACGAACAAACGAGCAAAGGAATGAATGAATGAATGAATGATAAATGAATGAATGAAT